TTTCTTACTAAATTTCATTAAAAATTGATCCCAGTGATATATAAGTAGTGAATTTTATAAGTTAATTTATGACCTTGTCAGTGTGCCTATACATTTTAAATCTGTACTTGGACCACTTGTTATGATCATAATTATTTCTTTGTGTAGTAAAAGTTTTCTAGTTTTAGATTGCATTAAAAATGTTTAAAACTTCTCTGAAGAACAGCATATTGGTGAATATAATTTACTTTCTCAAACCCCAAGGCTAAAAATAATAGGAAAGAAACCAATCATGTAAAACTTCATTTAGTAGTGCAACATTTCTCAACCTGCAAATGAAAGGAATGCTTACTTGATTTCTAGAGTTGTGTTTTAAAAAAATTGTTGCCTCAAGATGTAAATGCTTTAATTCTTTTCTCAGCAATGTGATGCTCTCTTATAATGAAAACTAACTTGAACCATCTGAATGTTCTGCAGAGAAAAGAATGGTTACTAGTGAAGAAAAGAAATTAAAAAACAAAACAAAACCATTTGCATTACTTAGCTACAGAGTTGGTTATAGCAAAGATTTTAAGAGTCTTTAAGGAGGCTGGAGATTGAACAAGCTGATTTGTATAACACACCATAGAACAGTGCCCAAAGAATATAGACATTAGAGTTTAGATTGTTTCAGTGATGCATTGAAGCACAATTGAAGGAATATAATTCTGGCACAGAGAGCTAGGGAATGACAGCAGATGGATTGCACCAGTCTGCAGCAACCAGAGATAAATTGCTCTGTTTGAATGGTTGAATTTTATACTTTGGAAGGCTACTAGATTCCTGCAGCCAGAGGCTTCAAAAGATAGACTATTTGTCCAACCAGCCCAGAAGGAAACATTAAGTCTGTTAGTTTCAATCATTTACTTACATGTTCAATAATGCCCTTGGGATGAACATCTTTAGACACAAATGTCAATAATCAAACAGCCTTACAGGTGGATGATAATTGTGACTCATTCACAGGCATCCTCCCTCTTCACCTCTTGCAAATATCAGTGCAGTATAGGGCACCAGCAGCTTTTTATTCCTCTATTCCAATTAAAAATATTTTATTGATTTTAGAGAGAGGAAGAAATGAGAGAGCGAGAGAGCAAGAAACATTGATTTGTTGTTTCACTTGTTTATGCATTCATTGGTTGGTTCTTCTACGTGCCCTGACTGGAAATGGAATCAGCAACTTTGGTGAATCGGGATAACAGTCTAACCAACTATGCTACCTGGCCAGGGCTTTATTCCAGTTCTTAACCCAACCCCAAATTATGTTCTACTGAACTACAGAAAAAATGGCAAGTTTAAATATGTGGCAAATTTGTTGTGGCTCATGTAGCTCGTTCTGTCAGGGACAGGAACTAGTCCTTTCCTACCAGAGACTGGTGTAATTTTCCCCTCGTAATATATTTAAAAAAACTAATCAGAAATTTCTGTGAATATGGACAAACAGAAACATGATGAACACTAGGATGTTATATGGAGCTTAGCACATTGATATTGGAAGGAAGGAGAATGTGCAATAACCTCTGACAAAGTTCAATACAAGGAATAGTAACAAGACAACTTTACTAAGTATAAACAATAAAAGTTGTTCCTCAACCTCTATAGAATTGGCTTAAAAAAAAAAATACACACACACACACACACACACATCTTTATTGATTTCAGAAAGAGGGAGAGGGAGGGAGAGAAATATTGATGATGAGAGAGGGTCATTGATTGGCTGCCTCCTACACATCCTTTACTGGGGATCGAGCCCAAAACCCGGGCATGTGCCCTGACCAGGAATCAAGCCCTGACCTCCCAGTTCATGGGCTGATGCTCAACCACTGAGCCATGCCAGCAGGGTGAAATTGGCTTTTTCAAAACAAAATTTTAGAGGTACAAAATATTAAACTAAGCAACTAATAGTTGCTTCAATTATTTCCCTTACACTAAATGAATCTTAAAAGGTACTATGTAAGTGAATTTATAAAGCTCTTTTCTTGAATAATTTAGTTCTTGACATAGATGAAAACTGTTTCATTTAGCTAAACAACAAAAAGAACTTCTAAAATCTTTTAGACGATTTTGAGCAAATTAATTTTTTTAGCTTTTCTTCCATCTTCTCTACACTACATAAAGTTGCCTAAATTCTGGGCGTCCAAGTTGCTCAAGTCCAGAGGACATCATGGTGTACGTGAATGGCATCCCTGATATTGTGTAGTACACAGTGATCAATTGTTATGTGATAGCCATACATACATTTTGCAGCAGGCAGTTTGGATTTTGGCTCTATCTATGCTGAATTTGGTAATCTTTATGTAACATAGCAAGTACTTCTTAACCTCAGGAGATGAATAGATCACCACAGGTTCTGGGAACTCTGCATTAATACCATTAAGATTTTATTATTTTCAGCATATCATTCTGATTTTTTAAGTTTTATTTCAATTTATTATATACATTGATACACATTCTTGATATATTTTGCTTAATTTGGTGAATAACTGCTTAAGGTAGATTAATACCAAATGATAGGTTTTGTTTTCCATGCCCTCTTGGTCATTATTATTAACTCATCAACAAGTTTATGTAATATATTTAGTTACACATAGTAGGTATCCTTTACAAACCTTGAGTATATAAGGGATGTAATTTTATGAAATAAAATAATAAATCTAAGGAAATGTCCAATTTCATACTTACACATGCTTGAGATTATCACCTCACTGAGTTAGGAACACTGTTGGTGATAATTAGATGATACTACACACCAAGTAATGCACCTCAAGGCAAGAGACACTGACAAATTCTTGGGAACAGATAACATTGCAAAGCAACTAGAATGTATACATTGTGCAGAATTGTTTAAAATGGTCACCACCAATTGAACCTCTTACTGACTGAGTAGAAACCACATTCTTCTAGAGACATGATTAAATTGAGTAAAAAATAAAACTGAATTTTGTGGAATAGAATAAAAACTTGCAGAACAGGTATCTGGAGTCCACAGCTTGAAGGATAACGCAGATAGTCGTGTAGTGGGGGCACTTAGGAAATGCAGTTTTACCAATACACTTCACATGGCAGAAGATGGTACTGGGTGGAAACACGCAGACATCAACAACTCTCGAATTGAAAAGTTCTTCAGAAAAATTTGACTCTGAATGTGAAGTTTAAGAATTCTCTTGACTATATTTCAATATTGCATTTTGATCCTTTATATGTATATGAAAGCAGGTGAAATTATAAAAATCTGTAAGTGCATTTAAGAGATCTCCAATAAATAAATAAATATAAAAACTTCAAATAACAAAGAAAGCACTGAATATTTTATTGGTAGTGTTTTCTTTTTCAGTGGAACATGAAATAATGGTGATTCTTAATAATTGATGGCATTTAGATTGTACAGTGAAATACAAAAATTATAGATTTAGATTATACTGTGAAATACAGTATTAAACATTTAATAAGTTATAAACACATAACGTCCTGTGAAAACTCTGCATGTCAGTCAGTAAATGGTACACAATAGCTACCATATATCTTTATTTTGTCCTTGGAAAGAACCTTGAGAAAAGAAAAAAAAACAAGAAAACAAGACATAAATATCATAACTGAGAGTTGCAGACAAGTCACTTCTGGTTTACCAAATAATTATTTTCATTTTGACATTTGATATATCAATAAAAGTGGCACAGACCAGTTCTTTCTTCAATTTACTCATGTTAAAGCACAAAGCTCTTACAAATCTTTTCTCTACTTATTATTAGGCTTTGATATGAACACATTTCACATATGTGCTTATATCAAAATAGGAACACATAACTTGGGATTCCTGCCAATTTTTATTTTCTTGAAGCTGTTTATCATCTGTGCATTTTCTTAGTCTTTCTTTTCTTTTGGTTCCATCCTGCTGTCTACCTTTTGGTTATTTATTGTTACTGAGTATCATTACCAGCACAAGAAATGAAAATAAGAAATGCAAAGTAAAATCCGTCCATCTGGTAATTTAACAGTTCTGTTAAAGAGAGTAATACAAGGATAAAAGCTAATGCTTGAAATAAACATATTACCAGTGAATCCAAATTATTCCTACCATCTCCCCACCCAGATACTTGAGTTTTGTGGGTATATGCTTTCCTATGAATGAAAATTTAGGGAACATTTTTAAGATATACAAAGACATGTTCAAGTTTATAAGGATAAAATAACATATCTCTTTTTGTTTCATTTTAATGTGATCAATAAATGAGATAGATTTTTATCATCAAATTCAGAGCTGTTCATTACTTATCAATTAAGATAATCATAATGTTTTAAGCATTAATTTAACCTGAATTTCTCAGCTATAAATCTGTTCCTGAAAATGTATTTCTACAGAATTCCCACAGTGCTCTAAAGACCCTATAGTATGCCATTTTTATTATTTAATTAGAGTTACTGTATTTGAGGAGAGAACTGCCAATAAACACTAAGAACTTTATTGGAACTGAAGCCCAAAAGATGGAATAACTCTATTGAAATGTTTAGAAAATTACCTTTAAAACTACTACAGCCCTGGCGAGTGTTGCTAAGTGGTTTCAGCACTGGCCCAGCCATGAGGGATCACTAATGTGATTCCCGGTAAAGGCACATATCTACCTACCTGGGTTGCAGGTTGAATCCCCAACCTCAATCAGGGCACATGTGGGAGACAATCAATCAATGTGTGTCGCTCCCATTGATGTTTCTCTCTCTCTCTCCCCCTTTCTTTCTCCATCCCTCCATTCTACTCTCTAAAAATCAAGGGAAAAAATATCCTCGGGTGAGTATTAACTACAACAAAAAAACTACTCCAGTATTATGTGAACAAAACAATGCCCCACAAATCCATCTTAATTCAAAGAAAAATTAAAATAGTGATAAATATCCAAAAATCCCTTTCCTGAACTTACACCCTTGAAACATTCTTTCTCCAAAACTGGTTTATCTGTATTTTTGTTATTAATGTCATGTTACAGCAATTATGTTAATACAATTTTTATTAAATGACTTCAATAAAACACAGACGAGTGTCTACAGAAAACCCCTATATTTGCAATCTTGCTCAATCAAGAAAGGCAAAGTATAGAATACTTAAGACATTTTTAAATCAGACTGTTTTCCACTCATAGTAATTTCTAGAAAAATATGCTCCCTATAGGTTATCATGTCTTCCACGTCTTTGCAGACAAGCATTTCCTCAATGGACAACAACTTATAGTTATTCAGGCTGAATGTTGACTTGTTTTGTACAGCATTTAACATCTTTATGGATGTTGTAACTGAATCACACAGAGAAGAACAAACTGGGAAAATACGAGCACTCCACAAACTCAAACATGTCTTGTTTCCAGAGAAGAGCTCCTCTGTAACTTTCAGATTCCATATATCTAAGCATGACAGGAAACAGATGCCAAAGAATTGAAGTGACTTTATATCTGACAATGTTTTAACATTCTTTTTCAAGTTGTCTTGCACTCCAAATGCCATAGTTGAATACTTTAAGTGTCCATTCATCTTCAAGCTTAAGGAACACACAAAAGAATATGCAGGCAGGACAGCTCTTGTTATGATAGAAGAACCACTAATAATGCAGTTCTCCCCAACTGAAACACCAGGTCCCAATCTGGAATACTCCACAACTGAGCCAGGTGACACAGAACATTGTGAATCCAATATACTTTGAATGAAACAGGATGTGTTACCAGAGCATTCTGGTATTGCTGGAGAGATGCTAAAAGCTATGGACTGTAAGCCAAGCTCTGACTTCAAACTGCTATCTGAAGTAAAGTGAAACAAATATTCTTCGGTTGTTCCAATGTGATAAAACTTGGAGTTATTAAGAACAATAACATTTAGTGATGTCCCTTTAAGAAGGTGAAATATTCTCTGTCTCAAGTCTACCAACTCTGACTCTTCTTTAGTGACATTTGACGTGTTTCTGGTATACTCCACAGTTGCTCCAGGTCCCAAAGCCTGCAGGAAGTCTCCATAGGCATCTATTTCACAGTTCAGTGTGCCTATTTTTTCATAAAAAGCAAGTAACTTTTTCGCTGATTTATGATCCATGTAAAATAGGCTGTCTGTGTAGACATACTCAGGTTCTAATTTAAGAGAGGGAATGTCACCATAAGAAAAGTCCTGTTGAAAAAAATTTCTAGGTCTACACACAGCATCAAACTGACGCATCCTTTCTATGCTGGGCTTATGAAGGAAACGATGGCAACACCTGTATTCAAGGTCTCTATATTCTAAGCAATTTGAAGGTTCTAAGACAAATACTCCATGTGTGGTACCTATAGTCAAACTAGAAGGATGAGCCAAAGCAGTAAAGCCAGGCCTGTCAAATCTGATAGACTCAGATTCTCCGATACTATAAAGTTCAATATCATCTGCACACGTAACCAGAATCCCAGGATTCATATGTGAGGGGAAATCAATGTACATGGCTAGCTTTAATTCTAACATCTGATAAATAGGGTTACCAAAAGGTAAAGCAGTGAAAATTTTCCCCAGAGCACTGGCATTTGGAAGGCGTTGACTGTAGCCACCTATAAAATTAAACAAAATAACTGTTTTAAAATGTTTATATGACTGTTTACAAGATTTAAAAAACCCAAGGGCATCAGTAGCAAATCAAAATGTCTCCAAAAATATTTAATATGTAGAATGCATTACTATAACTCAGGAAAGAATAATAAATTCCAGATACAAATTCAAAGAGAGATTTTCCTGTAGCCTTTCAACATAGTGTAGTTTTAAATATTCTAGATTAGAAAAGAATTCCCATATACTTTAGAGCATGTGAATTGTTTTGAATCCACTGTATAGCTAGTAAAATGGACCATGGGCTAAAACATGACCTTATATCCACATTTTAAACAATAAATTTCAACCATATTTAAATTCCAACAATAAGCACCGCTCTACAGGGGAAAAACAAGTCATAAAAAACTAACATACCAATTCCAAAATTACCTATTAAACAGTAACTTCCAAATGCAGCGTCTTTCCTCCAATTATTAAATACACTTAAAGAAAGCAAAGGTTCATTCATGTAAAAACATTTTAAAATGTATACTTGTTTTTAATTTAAATAGGCTTTCCCTCTAAGATGAGTCTTATGACGTCTTAATTTCTTGAAAAGCATGTTCTCTTAAGTAAATTAAATAGCTTACATCATTTTTATGTTAAGTAAGTATAGTGAGAAGCAGTATTATAGAGAGTGCTAGACAAAATTGGGTTCAAACTCAGGTTCACTACTTTTTAGTTGTTCATCTCTGGATTCACTCCAAATAAAAATGTAGAATACTACTTGCCTTGTCGTGTCTTATGAGATCAATTATACATGTAAAGCACTTGGCATGTAGTACATTGTTCAACAAATGAGAGCTAATACTTTCTACTTTTTCCTTTGCCAAAGACTAGTCAATAGGAAAGTTTAGCATTATAAGAATTAGATATTCCTAACTATATGTTTTCTGGTATCTAATGTAACTTCTACTAAATTGGTAATAATAATACAATAATACTTGCTCTGGAATAAATTTGAAATTTTTTTACTTGCATATGAATCATAAGAGATGGAAGGTGCCTTGGAAGCCATGGTGCCAGTCCATGACAAACTTCATCAGCCCCAATCCACAGAGAAAAATAATAGAGGTTTTCACACGATCAATATTTTTATACAACTAAATTTATCCAATTAAAAAAACCCTTTTGTTCTGAGATTATTTCTTTCCTGCTTTTCTTTCCTACAATGTCCTCTTTTATGTGTAATTTTCCCTCATATATTTTCTTGTCAACTCCATGTTTTGTCACCATCTTTTTTTTAACTCTTTTATGGATTGTAGACTTTGTACACCAATAATCAAATAAAAATGTATGACATAAAGTTTTAGCAATAGTGTGGGGATCATAGTGCTAAACCAGCCTCTTTCCCACAGCAAGAATCCCTTCTAAAGAATTACTGAAAAATGTTCATATTTTCATGAATTCTGTGTTTGGACAAAAAAAGAAAGAGGAAAGTGTTTGTAAAGGAAAAAAAGTTCCTAAGATCCCGAAGGTAAAATACGGAAAATAAACTATAAGTTAGTAAAGTGTGACTTTACCGGAGTGAATTAATAGGATGGTAAAAGAATTCCACTTATCTCCATAGAGCTTTTCCAAATGCCGAAGGGCACAAAATGTTGATCCGCCATTTCCTTAAAAATAAAGTTAAAAATGTACAATTTATTTCATAGAACCTACTAAAATTTTGTAACTATGGTAAATTTAGGTGTTATAACTTTGAGAATATGGCTTGTTGACTATAACTAGGCAGAGAGAAAAAATATGAGCCAAAAAATCAATTTAAATATACATTTTATAGCAATTAAGTGAAATAAACAGTTGGTAATGAAAACCAGAGATAGGCCCTGGTAATAAATTATGAACTAATCTTCTCCGAAAAATATAAACACAAAATGAAGACATGATAAAGCAGGCAATCTGCAACACTAGAAAACTGTAAGTATATAATTTGGGATTACAAATTGCAAAATCCATTTAAATAATTCTCCCATTATGACAATCAAAGATGCAAGTTAAATTTGCTTTTTAAAAAATTTTTTACAATCTGGTTTCCTAAAAATATCTTAAATGTAACTATCCCTTACTAGGTACATGGGCAAGTTATTTAACTTTCTGTGTCTCAGAGTCTCATCTATACAATGGGAATCATATAGTACTGACTGCTAGCTGTGAGGATTAAAACATTAGCTAATTAGAACAATGTCAATATCAGACACAGATACTCAACCCAACCTCTGGTATCAAGGAACTTGATCTTTAGTATTACATGGAAAATGGCCCCACAAAAATAGCTTTTTTTTTCTTTTGCAATGGAAAGTCAAAAGGCACACTTCACTGAAAATGGATTTTTTAAGTAAATATCTATGATACTTAAGCCATTAGGCTGTGCTCTTTTGCATTCTTCATTGTGGTCCCAAGAAGTCAAGTAGTGTATGTATTTTTTTCTTTATTTGATCTCCTCATGTAAATTTCTGAAGAAAATGCAGAGTTTGGAGGGTACTTAAGATCCTGACTGATAAGGTCCAAAGGATTATTCGCCATCTGAGTAAATTTTATTAAAACTAATACAATTCTCTTTTAAATAATGTAACATTCTGGAAGTTTTTCATGGTAAGTCACGATGTGTATGAAAGTTGCTATGCCCTTTATCATTTAAAAAAAAGCTCTTAAATTCAAATAAAAATTTTAAAGTTAGTAAAATCATGAACTAATCTTCTCCCCAAAATATTAATACAAAATGAAGAAATGATAAAGTAGGCAATCCGCAACACTAGAAAACTGTAAGTATATAATTTATTTGGGTCTCTAGACTATAGCGGAAAAATATGCAGCTTATAAACTGCACACCACAGGAAAAGTTTTCTTCAATGATTATTCTGCCTAGAACCTATGCTATAAATCTGACCATAAATGCGTACCAATTTTGGCTCCAGCAGGATCAACAAAAACATGATATTGAACTCCAAGGGGTAACTCCTTTTTTTTCAGCTTTTCTGACAGCTGTTGCTTATAAGCAAGTTCCTGTTTTTCATCAGCTGCTGTTATTGCAACAATGTCCCAGAACTCTCCAGCTGCCACAGGTTTGCCTATGTGAAAAAACAGCAACAAGGAAATGATAAATATTATCAGAATTCTGTTACAGGTTTACTTATTTGGAAAGAGGGGGGAAAAAGAGTTAATATCATCTTCATAAATATACTGCTTTTGAGGATTAGGGAATAATTAGTAGCCAGTTAGTATGGTTTAAAATAGTTCTAATGAGGATTGTTAACAACTTCTCCTTTTTGTCTCATTTAGATTACTTTCTTCGTTTATGTTCTACAGACCCATTTATTTAGGTGTGCTCAAACTTGCAATGTTCTCTATTAAGAGAAGTATTACTGATTTTCTTAGATTACCTCAATTCTTAAATAAGAAGATTCTGGAGACAAAGGAACAAATAAATGAATCTCCAGCTTTGAAAATCAGTTTTCATATATTAGGACTATTTAGTGTTCCTTGGCTAAGAAAGACGCAACCCAAGGATCCATGACCACAATGCTGCTGTTTATAAATGTGGATACTTTATTTTTGACTAACTTAAGATGAGCCATGCAATTTTACAAAGGCTATTGGAGTAGGATATAAAATTCTGGGTAACAAAAGTTCCCAACTCCCAGATGAACTCATTAAAAGACAAACTGAACCTTGGGTAGACAATTGGAAGCTCTTTTTTACTGATAAGATGAAAACTTTTTATTAGTTAACAGTTGTCAGCTAGAATGTATCAGTACTGAACGTTTTACAGTCTTCCTAGTATTACTTCCTGTACTCTTAAAGCAGTAACTTCATCAAAAGTATTTTTTAATAAACAGTTGTACAGGAATGACAAGTGACATAACCATTTTTAAAAAATTGATTCAACCCCTACCCCTTTCAATCTTTAATCCATAATTCCTCCATGTTTTATTATTATTTTTTTAACTGAGCGTTCACATTACGGAACAAGGGAAGTGAGAGAAGGCTAAAATCAGATTTGTAAGGGTCAAACACTATGTTTTAGATTTTTCAAATGTATTTAAAATAACTATGAGCTAACCAAGTGCATAACTTGGATTTATAGCTTTAACAGTCTGGTTAACAATTTCTTCTCTCTCCTCCGTTTAACTTTTTTTTTCATGTTTTAACCAGGAATAAAGTTAAAGTAGCAAGCATAACGTAAAGAAAAGGACAGTGGAAGAAAAGAGTAAAAAAGTTAAGGTGTATTAGCCGTGAGCGGCCCAGCGGCCCGGGCCCAGGTGAGAGAGAACCAACCGGGGCGCTGGTCCTGCGAATTTCACAGCACGCAAACGTCCCCGCCCCCTCGCCATGGCCGGGCGAGCTGGGGTTCCTCCTTCGGTACCTCTCAGCTCTGAAAACCTCCGCAACTTTCGCTGGGTGGCTTCTGGCAGCGAGACGCGCGGAGGGACACCTGCAGAGGCCATGACCCCACCGAGTCGGCCTCCGCTTTACACTTCCGGGTCTCCCACCGCTCCACTCGGCACGCACGCGCTCCGGCCCGTAGCCCGCCCTAGGTCCGGGTTCACCTCCGCCCCGCCCCTTACGTGCGTCACGCACGTGGCCACGCCCCCCGAAGGTCTTCGGCCAGCCCAGGGAAAACCACGATGGGGTGATCCCGGCGCCTTGCCCGCGTTTCCTTAGCAACAGTCTCCGGAGCTGATGGCCACCTAGCGATTTGTCAAACTGAGCCGAGTCCGGCCGCTTATTCCCAACTCCTAAGGCCTTGCAGCTCTGTGGACTCGGTGAGTGGGACGGGTGGGGCGACAGAATTGCTGCGACGGACGCGCTCCGGAGGAGAGGAAGTGCAGCCTGGCGTTCAGCTTCGTCTCGGGAGGCCGTTTGTCGCTTCTCACTCGTGGTTTGTGTCGGCCAGAAACCGTTCCCCGGAGCCTCTTGACAGTTACCCTCCCCGCCTGGTCGTCGTCTGAAGCCGTCTGCCCCAACCCCAGGTCTAGATACACAGTCGGAGCATTAAAAATCAGTGTTATCAGGAGCCTTAGGCCGGTGGCGTCTTGGCCTTGGCGGGTCCCTGGAGAGGGAGCCTTTCCACCCTCTCAGGTTCGAGTTCTTAGGCTTTTGGAAGTTGTATCCAATTTGTTCTGCAACCAGGACGTTCACATCTGTGCTGTTTTGGGTTAATTCCCTGGCATCCTTTTGTATATGCAGGTTAATCAAGAACTTTCAGGAACATTGGTGGGAACAAGTCAACATTATTAGATGTGTTTGTGGTGGGTTAGCTTTGTAAGTATTTCCCTGGTAAGGCACTACGTTTACAGTGAATTTTATAGATTAACTTCATCTTTACACATCAGAAAGCTATGAGTCAGAGAGAAGAGTGACTTAGTCAAGGTCTCACAATTAGTAAGCAATGGAGAGAAGACTTGAGCAAGGGACTTCAATCCCAAATGCAGAAACCATTCTCCCACACTAGGCAGCTTGATTGATTTTGACGCCTGTCTTCGTTAATGACTTTATCGGGAACACAGATATTCAAGGCCCTATACACTCTTGCCATGAACTTAGTTTTTTCTTCTAAAGACTCGATCCTGTTATTTAATTCTGTACTTACAGAGTAAGTGTTTGACTAAAAAGGGAGATTTACTCTTTCATAGTTTTATCAGTTAAGAGGTTTTCTTTTGGTTAATAAAAACAATGTGTTCTTATTAAGAACATTTAGAAAATACAGGAGACTGGAGTAAGGTGAGAGTGAGCAATAGGGAAAGTAGGAAGAGAGAAGGTCAGAGAGGGCACAGAGGCCCAAGGAAAAAATTGTGTTTTTTACTGAGTGCTCCACCCAGGAAAAATAGCCTCTGTGGTATGGGGAGAATGGCTCAGCAGAGGGATGCCGGCCGCTGTTCCTTCAGCTGTCTCCCCAGAGCCACAAACCCCAGACTATTCTCATGCAACTCTAGTCGATTTCTCCCTCCCCCTGAGGGAGCCCAGGGTGAGTGGCTGTGAGCAAAATGTCTGTTGCCCCTTGAAGAGGGTGCCTGTGTCTCTATCCGATGTCCAGCAGACTTCCCTCTCTCCCTGGTGGACAGAATCTCCACTACTAGCAGACCTGTGGGCGCCTCTTCCTGGCCATGGTGCTCTGGGCTGCAGAGTCCAGCTTGGGGTTTACACCCCACACTTCTCAGGGAGTATCCCCCACAGCTGAGATATCCCTCGGGGACCTCAGTCATCCCCCCTGTGAAAGTGGGGCCAGCACTTTTTGTGTATCCACCCTCCCTACCAGTCTCAATGTGGCTTCTTCTGTAAATCCTTGGTTATAAGACTTCTCTTCAGCTAGTTTCAGTTGGTTATTCAGGATGATTGCTCTATAATTTAGTTGTAGTTGTAGTTTGGTCCTCGGAGGGGGTGAGTGTAGCTTCCACTTACTCCGCCACAATTTAGGATCTCCTAATCATCACCGATTGTTATTAAATGGAAAAAGTTGGGAATAATGATGAGACTTGATATACATTGTATTTTATAAAGCGTGGTGTGCTTAAAAACGTGTGATAATGTTGAAATTAGTACTTAAGTTGACACAAACTAGTGAGAGGGTTACTGACAAAGATACTAATTTCTTTATAACTACAGAACTTTTCTGAAAATGTGTTTGGAACCCTGATGCTTTCTCTAATGTGGTACTATACTGAAACTAAAATTGCCCCATTCAAACTTGATAATATACACATTTGTATGTACATCTCACAAAATAAGTATAAAATTATCAGTCTAAAAAGAACAGCTAGTTCCCCGGATTCTGTTTAATGGCATATTTAAAATAGGCAGCCATTGGTAAGCAGGCTTTTAAGTAGGTAGAGGAGATAACAAACGCAATGGTTTTTAGCTTCCCTTGGTGGGCAGTATAATTACCTGGCCCCATAGTAGGGGAGATAAAATTTAGTAGGTATGCCATGGGGCCTGAGAACTTGGGTTATTTTAGTTATTCTCATGTGCAATAAAGAATGAGAAACAAAATTAATGTTGCATGAGGTAGTATAAAGGAAAATATGAAACAGTTTCAGTTATCCAAAAGGATTGGGAAATGTGACAGACTATTTAACTGAATAGTCTGAATAACCGAAATATACTTTATATTCTGAATGTAGAGGGCTAGTCCTTAAAGAATTGGAAAAATGGTTTACTACATTTATTCCTGTACTCCCTAATCATATGTTAGTTAGTCTTTCCTTTGAATAACAACAACTTCATATCATATAATAATAATCTGTTTTGGAATTTTTTAAATATTAAGGTTTATATACTGGCAAATAAATATTGTTGGTGGAAGTTAATATTAATACAATAGAGAACATAAATATAAATTAGTCTAGTATATGAGACTGATTTTAAGACTGTTTATTTTAGAATTCATTCATATCACAGCAACTAAAAAAATGAGAATGGTTTAAAATTAAAATATATGAAGAAAAATAAGTTAACCAGAACTAAAAAAAACATATTTGCAGGAACCTGGGATGAGATTCAGGTTCACTTTGAATGACCCTACAGATAAGAAGACATATACTTTGGAGCAGTTTCTTATGATATGGTAAAAGGAACCAGAGAGAGTGTTTGGAGACACTTTCATTTCCCCCTCTCCTTAAAGGTCTGAAACTCAAGTAAAGAGTTTGTTGCTTTTTATCATAAATGCCCTTCATATAATCTGGTTATATTTAATTTTTATAGAATCAGGTATTTATAGAAACTTCTGGGATGAAATAATGACAAAATATGCCCTCACCCCAAATATGTGATAATATAATAAGGATTATAAGTTTTTGCCAATTTATTTATTGAAAATATATTCATTAACTTTTCTCCTGCTTCCTTTGGATTTAATTTGCTCTTCTTTATCTAGTTTCCTAAGGTTCAAACTTAGATTATTGTTTTTAGATCTTTTCTAATATATGAATTCAATGCTATAAATTACCCTTTTAGAACTACTTTCACTGCATCCCACACATTTTGAAAAGGTGTATTTTCATTTAGTTCAAAATATGACATGGAAGCATAGATGAGACTGATGAATGTCAGAGGGATGGAGGAGGGCTGGTAGGTGGAGGGGGAGAGAGTAACCAAAGAATTTATGTGCATATATATACAACCCAAGGACATGGACAATGGTGGGGAGAGGGACTGGGGAGGGGGAAGGAACGGGGTGGAACGGGTCATTGGGGAGAAAAAGGGACATCTGTAATATTTTAAACAATAATAAAATTTAAAAAAATATTTAAAAATTTATTTTGTGATTTCTTCTTTGACCCATATGTTACTTAGAACAAAGCTGGAAGCAACATGCTCCCTGATTTCAAACTATATTGCAAAGGAATAGTAGTCATACAGTATAGTATTGGCTTAAAATGAGACACATAGTTCAATAGAACAGAATACAAGAGCTCAGAAATAAATGCACACATATATAGTCGATTGATCTACAACAAAAGAGCCAAGAATATACCATGGAAAAAGGACAGTTTATTCAATAAATGATGCTAGGGAAACTGGACAGACACATGCCAAAGAATAAAACTAGACCACTATCTTATACCATATACAAAACTTAACTAAAATGGATTAAAAGCTTGAAGGTAAGACCTGGAACCATAAAAATTCTAGCAGAAAGCACAGACAGTGAGCTCTTTGGTATTGGTCTTGATCATGTTAGTGATATCTTTTTGTGTGTTTTTGTTTTGTTTTAATCTGAAACCAAGAGAAAAGGCAACAAAAGCAAGCTTGAAAACGGTGTGTAATCTGCTGTTGGATGAAGTAATAGATAGATATCAGTTATCCAGTTGGCTAATGGTGCTGTCGACTTCAACTGTGTCCTTACTGATTTTTTTCTGCCTGTTGGATACATCCATTTTTGATAATGGAATGTTGAAGTCTTCTGCTATAATAGTGAATTCATCTATTTCTGCTTTCTAGTTGTCTCAGTTTTGTGTTAGGTCATTTGATGCTATGTTTAGGCACATGCATACATGGATTGTTATGCCTTCTTGTAATTTGTAATGCCTCTCTTTATCCCTGATTATTTTCCTTGCTCTGAAATAATATAGCTTCAGCAGCTTTTTTTTTTATTAGTGCTAGCATGGTATTTCTTTCTTCATCACTTTACATTTTTTACTTAGTTTTTCAATGTGTGCCACTGAAGAATAGATATTTTAATTGAAAATTAATTCACCTACCATAAAAGTCACCCTTTAAAAAAGTGTAAATTCAGTGAAAAATATTTTAAAACAAAAATAACTTGGTTGTTTATCAAGACCTTTTCATGTTGATGTGTTCTATAATATCAGTTTTAATGCTTTCATAGTATGCAGTGCTTCCATTGACTGTATTACAGTGTTTTATTTAGTTAATACCACTTAAGACATTTAGGATGTATCATGTTTTTGCTAATATATACAATATGTAATGAATTCTTTGTAACATTATCTTTTTTTCATATCCATACTTATTTCTTATACTATACATTTTTATTGCAGTATAATGGATATAACATTATATTAATTTCAGGTGTACAACATAATGATTGATATTTGTATATATTGCAAAACGATTACCATAAAAGTCTAGTTCATATCTTCTGTTACTGTATATAGTTAAAAAATTATTTTTTGTTATGATAAGAACTTTTACAATCTACTCTCTTAAAAACTTTCAAATTTCATTACAATATTATTAACTCTGGTCACCAAGCTGTACATTACCTCCCATGGTTTACTTATTTTCTACTTGGGAATTTGTGCCTTTTGACCCATTTCACACATTCTGCCCACTCCCACCACTACCTCTGGCAACCACCTATCTGGTTTTTGTATCTGTGAGTTCATTTTTGTTCTTTTTGTTTGTTTAAGATTTCACCTATAAATGGATCATACTATATTCTATCTTTCTCTGTCTTATTTCATTTAGCATAATGCCCTCAAGGAGGTCTATACACTATTGACCTTTAAAATGATAATTTGTATAGTTTGATTAATGTCTACTCATTGTTCTTATTTGAAGATATATATTTGAAAAATATATGTTTAAAGATATATATGTATATATATAGATAGATAGATTTATCTTTTTTTGATATATATTTGTGTACCAATGCAGTGATGACAGATATAAAGCTTCAGCTTTATGTCAAGAAATGGGATCTCTGCTGTGCCTTATTGATGTGTTCATCCAAAGGTTTTGTTATGAGTATATGAACTAAAGAAACTTTAACTTTTTAAAAATAATAGTGCATTAAGATTATATCTCTTGTAACACTTGTACCATGCTAATACAATGTGTTAATAGGGGAAACTGTATGAGAAGTGGGGTGTGAGGGAGTACACATTTTTTGGCCCACAGCTGAGAGACTCTGCTATTGTAGATACGGAATGGGACCCAGGAAATCTGCCTCTTTATTAATGTTTTAGGTGATGGATGTTTAGAGTTTGAGGATTATAGCTTTAGGCCCTGGCTAGAATATAAAAAATAGCCAGTTTTTTAAAGAGTGCAAGGGTTTATCTGGATTTTCATGTTTATTCTCATTTGGATTATGCTGACCCCATTTGCCTCCACATGGTAGAAATAGATTCTTCCAGTGGAGGTGGTTAATATCAACCACTCTCTGATCGGCCACTTGAGCCTGTATGCTCTCTTCTAAACTATTACTGTGTGACTGCCTTTTATGAAAGCTGAAATTACCCACAGTAAGGAGTAATCTATCCACAGAAATTTATTTGGAAATAAATATTTGTAACTGTTGAAGCCCTGCATTTCATCTTAATTTCATTTAGCTGCATTTTTTAGCCACTCCCACAAAAAATTGTCACTTTCCTAACTTAGGAGTTCATAATCCAAATAATTTCTTTATTGAAAAGATCTTTTAACAAAAGTTATTATACAAGGTATGCTAAGGTATAGTTTTCTTTGTTTGTTTGTTTTAGTTGTCTTGCCAAGAGGTGATGTTTTTTTATCAACTATTACACTGAATTTTATTTTCTCTAAGTATTTTAGGAAAAGGACGTATTTCTTCCTCTTACTGGTTAGTTCATGGGTGAGTTGTAGTTATATAAATGTTAGACATTTAAGATGCTTTAAAATAGATTTTATGGGAATTGGATTTTTACAAAAAATTTAACTTAGTTTCTTCCCATTTTTATTCTCACTATCTATTAGCAAATGTTTTTATTTTCATATGGATTTATTTTTGGAAGTAGAAAAAAACTCTTGAAAGAAATTTACCATTTTTTCTAGATGTTTCATGGAACTATCACAAAAGAACTAATCAATCATGAAGAATGGAGTCACTATAATCAAAACATAATAGAAGATCAGAAAGATTTTGTTTTTGTGAAGTTCTGTGGTCTTCATTTAAAATCTATGGAAAAGTTGCAGTCTTGTGTTTCTCTCAGAGTATGCATCTTCTCAAACAATTTTGTTACTGATATTAGTCCACTTCAAAGTTGTATAAAATTAGTCAAACTTGATCTCCATGGAAATCAGGTAAGCAATAGCCATTTCATATATTTTCATATAAATTAAGTTGTATTTAATAAGCACTATTTATCCACAATATATCTCCCAGATAGTCTTTTATATAAAATATAAACAAAAATTTTAAAAAAATAATAGAAAATGTAGAAACACAAAATTTTAAATATAAGCAAAATTTTAAATTAAAATATATAAATAAACTCTGTGATTTAGTTTATTTTGCTTCTTAAATTCATAGTCTGGATTAGGAATACTTCTTGACTCATTATTTTAAATGACAAATAACTGGTGTATAACATTATATTAATTTCAGGTATGCCACATAATAATTCAGTATTTGTGCATATTGTGAAATGATCACCATTACACTCCACTTAACATTCATCACCACATGGTTACTAATCAGATATATAATTTGCAAATATTTTCTTCCACTTGGTTGGTTGCCCCTTCATTTTAGTGGTGGTTTCCTTTGCATGTAGAAGCTCTTAATTTTTATGTTGTCTCATTTGTTTATTTTTGCTTTTGTTACCTTTCCCTTGGTTTCAGATTTTATTAAAAAAAACAAAAAAAAACACACACACAAAAAATATCACTAACGTTACCAAGAATGATGTATAAGAGCTCACTGTCTGTGTTTTCTGCTAGAATTTCTATGGTTCCAGATCTTACTTTCAAGTCTTTAATCCAGTTTTAGTTAAGTTTTGTATATGGTATAAGATACTGGTCCAGTTTTATTCTTTGGCATGTGTCTGTCCAGTTTCCCCAGCATCATTTAGTGAAGAAACTGTCCTTCTTCCATGGTATAGTCTTGGCTCTTTTGTTGTAGATCAATTGACTATCTATGTGTGTATTTTTTCTGAGCTCTTGTATTCTGTTCCATTGAACTATGTGTCTGGTTTTAAGCCAATACTATACTGTATGAATACTATTCCTTTGTAATATAGTTTGAAATCAGGGAGCATGTTACCTCCAGCTTTGTTCTTCTTTCTAAAATTTTCTTTGGCTGTTCAGGTTTCATTCGAATTTTAGGCTTGTTTGTTTTATTTCTGTGAAAAAATACCATTGGAATTTTTGATAGGAATTTCATGGAATCTGTAGAATGCTTTGGGTAGTATGGATATTTTAAATAATATTCTCCCAATCCTTGGACATGGAATATATTTTCATTTTTTTTGTGTCGTCTTCAATTTTTTTCATAGTGTCTTATAGTTTTCAGTGTACGGGTATTTCACCATCTTTGTAAAAATATTCCTAGGTATTTGTGTGTGTGTGTGTGTGTGTGTGTGTGTGCAATTGTAAATGGGATTTTCCTAATTTCTCTTTCAGAGTTTGTTATTAGTATATGAAAATACAACAGATTTTTATATATTGATTTTTTTCCTTAACCAGTTCGTTATTTTTTTAATTTTTTAACTTTTTATTGAAATTTTTTGGGGTGACACTGTTTTAACAAAATTATATAGGTTTCAGGTGCACAATTCCACAAACACATAATCTGTACACTGTATTATGTGTTGACTACCCCAAGTCAAGTCTCTTTCCATCACCATTTTTCTCCACTATACCGTCCTCCCGCTGATCACCACACTGTTGTCCCTGTTTATGAGTTTTTCCTTTTTTGCTCAGTTCTCCACCCGCCCACCCCAGCTTCCCAACGCCTCTCAGCCTGCTCTCTATGAGTCTGTTTCTATTTTGCTTGTTAGTTTATTTTGCTCATTAGACTTCCCATATGAGTGAAATCATATGGTACTTGTCTTTCTCTGACTGGCTTATTTCACTTAGCATAATGCTCTCCAGGTCCCTCCATGCTGTTATAAAGTGTATGATTTCCTTCGTATCCTTCTACAACTTTATTGAATTAATTTATTAGTTCTAACAGTATTTCGGTGGAGCCTTTCAGGTTTTTTCTGTGTAATATGCCATCTGCAAATGGTTACAGTTTTACTTCTTCCATTTTAATTTGGATGCCATTTCTTTCTTTTTCTTGCCTAATTGCTCTGGCTAGGCTTTCCAGTCCTATGTTGTATAACAGAGGTGAGAGTGGGCATTCTAGTCCTGTCCTGATCTTAGAGAAGTTTTCAACTTTTCACCATTGAGTACAAGGTTAACTCATATATGGGCTTATCATTTATGGCCTTTATCTTGTTGAGGTATATTTCTTCTATATCCAGTTTTTGAGAGTTTTTATCATAAGTGGATGTCGAATTTGTCAAATACTTTTTTTCTGCCTCTGTTGAGAGGATCATGTGATTTTTATCTTTAATTTAATTAGTGTGGTGTTATCACATTGGTTGATTTGGCTTTTCAATTCTGTATGTAAAGAAAGTATTTTAGAGAAGTTTAAAGAGTCAGCCTGTTACAAAGAAGTTTTTACTGAATAAAGTATGTATGTTTATTAATTAAGTTATGCTATTATATATGTGTATATATATAATGTAGCTTATTTCAGATGTCCAGTGTATCATTTTTTTTGTGTTCTTTTTTTGTTTTTTTATCCTCACCGGAGAATATTTTTTCCATTGCTTTCAGGGAGAATGGAAGGGAGAGAGAGGGAGAGAGAAAGGAAGAGAGAGAAACATCGATGTGAAAGAAACACATCTATTGGCTGCCTCCTGCAGTCGCCCAGACCAGGGCCAGGCATCGAGCCTGCAACTGGCCCACATGCCTTTGGCCAGAGTCAAAACCAGGGCCCCTCAGTCCACCAGCGGGGGCGCTAACCACCGAGCAAAACTGGCTAGGGCTTATCATTTGGGTAATTAGAAATTCTGTTTTTGTTTACTAGTGAGAAATTTTCCATTTGGGAAAATACTGAATTTTAGATGTTTAATACATTTTATTTTTCAAGCAATTGATAGAAATTTTATATTTGTATTTAAAGTACTATTATTAATAATATTTCAGGTAAAGCATCTACCAGGTGCCAAATTTTGGAGTAGATTAAAGAACCTAAAACTTCTCTATCTTCATGACAACGGGTTTGCAAAGTTAAAGAATGTATCCATGTTGTCGGCCTGTCCATGCCTCGTTGCCCTCACTATGTTTGATTGCCCAGTAAGCCTTAAAAAAGGGTATAGGCCTGTGCTGGTCAACAGTATACACACTCTCAAAGCACTGGACCATCATGTGATTTCTGATGAAGAAATAATCCAGAACTGGTATCTTCCTGAAAGATTCAAAACGTATAACCACCGGCTTTTCTTTAATTTCTGCCCTCCTTTGAAAAAGGTAAGTGGTTTGTTTTAAATAAATTTATAGAAATGAAATTTTAGCTTCTAAGGTTCATTCCTAACTTATATAAAACTGATATTTTGCATCATTTATATAAGATATCCTATACTATTGAATATATTAGTAATGTTTTATATCCAAAATTTATAAAAAAATGTTTGTATGTTTACTGCATAAGAGCTGTTGAGCAGAAAAGTACCAAATTGTAGAAAAACAAATATGTATGTCTCCCTTATGTTTTAATAGCTTTAAGGATATATAGCTTACATGCTTTGAAATTCCCTTATTTTACTTAAATAAAATCATTCAATGATTTTAATAAATTAACAGTGTTATATAACCATCTCCAAAATCCAATGTTAGAAATTTTCACCATTCCAAATGTTTCTTTCATTCCCATGCGCAGTTAATTCCCTGTTTCAACCCCCAGTTATAGGTTACATTCATCGGCTTTCTGTCTCTATAAACTTCCTTTTCTAAACATTTCATATAGGAATCATACAATATGTTGTCATTTGCATCTGCCATCTTTCAGTTAGTGTGATGTATTTGAGGTTCATTCATATAGCATGAATCAATAGTTTGTTCCTTTTGATTGCTGAGTAATATTTTATTATACGAATATATTATAATTTCTTTGTACAGTCACCAGTTGATGGACATCTGGATTATTTCCAGTTTTTGCTATTATGAATAATGCTGCTATGAACACCTGTATGCATGTCTTTTTGTAGAGATAAATTTTCACCTTTTTTGGGTAGATTCTTAGGAGTGCAACTGGTAGGATGTATAGTAATTTTATGTTTAACTTGATAAGACACTGAATTGCATTCTAAAAAGTGGAAGCCACTGGTTCATAAGTGTTGTAGTTTCTTTATGTCTTTGTAAACTACTAGCATTTTCTGTCTTTTGCACTATAGACATTCTAGTAGGTGTGAAGTGATATATCATTTGTGGTTTTAATTTTTATTTTCATAATGACTAATGATGGTAAGCATTTTTTCATCTGCTTATTAACTATTGATGTATCTTCTTTAGTGAAATGTCTGTAGAGATTTTTTTTTTTTGGCCTATTTTTAAAGTTGGTTTTTTGTCTTATCGAGTTGTAAGTGTAGATATCTGGATATAAATCTTTTATCAGATATGTGAATTACAAATATATTCTCCCATTCCATATCTTGTCTTTTCATTTCCTTAATGGTCTCTTTTGAAGCAGAAAAGTTTTGAGTTTTATGAGGTTCTATTTTATGAAATTTTTTTTTATGTGTGATGCTTTTGGTGTTGTATCTAAGAACTCTGCCTAATTCCAGCTCTCAAAATTTCTCTTCTGGCCTGGCCGGGCGTGGCTCAGTGGTTGAGCGTCGACCTAGGATCCAGGCGATCCGGGTTCAATTCCTGGTCAGGGCACATGCCTGGGTTGCGGGCTTGATCCCCAGTTGAGGGCATGCAGGAGACAGCCGATCAATGACTCTCTCATCATTGATGTTTCTATCTCTCTCTCTCTCCCTCTCCTTTCCTCTCTGAAATCAGTAAAGATATATTTAAAAAAAAAAAATTCTCTTCTGTGTTTTCTTCTAGAAGTTTAATAATTTTGTTATGAAATTTATTTTATTTTTTAATTTTATTGACTTTTAGAGAGAAGGGGGGCAGAGAAAGAGAAAGAGATATTGATGTGAGGGAGATACATCCATGGGTTGCTTCTGGCTTGTGCCCTGACCAGGGATGGAACCTAAAACCTGGGTATGTGCCCTGACTGGGGATTGAACCCACCACCTTTGGAATACACTCCAACCAACTGAGCCACACCAGCCAGGGCTAGTTAAGAAATTAAGATCTATGTTTTACCTTGAATGAATTTTTATGCATAGTATGAAGTAAGGCCCTAAGTTTATATTTACATATTGATATAGAATTATACCAACACCATTTGTTGAAAATATTTTTCTTTCTCCAGTGAATTGTCTTGATACCTGTCAAAAATAAATTGGTGATAAATGTAAAGGGCTTATTTCTGGACTCTACATTATATCCTAGTGTTGTATATATCTGTTATTATGACATTGCCACACTATTGTAGCTTTGTAGTTAAGTTTTGAAATAGAGAAGTTTGATTCCTCCAACTTTGCCTTTGCCTTTGCCTTTTTTTTTTTTTTTTTTTTTAATGTTGCTTTGGCTATTCAGGGTCCCTTGAATTTACAAGTGAATGTTAGGATTAGCTTGTCAATTTTGACAATGATTCCTGCTGTGATAGTGATAAAGATTCTATTGAGTTTTTAGATCAATTTGTGGAGGATTGCCATCTTTACAATAGTGAATATTATCATTCTTGAATGTGAACTTTCAGTTTATTTAGCTATCCTTTAATTCTCTGAGCAATGCTTTGTAGTTTTCATTGTACAGGTCTTGCACTTACTTAGTTAACAGTTTTTAGTTATTTTATTTGATATTGAAAATGGAATCATTCGCTTAATTTCATATTTTGATTGTTGCTAATATATATGAATACAGTTGATGTTTTCATTTATTCTTATATCCTGCTACCCTCCTATTCTCATTTATTAGTTCTGGAAGTTTTTTGTTGATTCAGAATACTTGTTTTTTAATTGAAAGTGGATATTTTTTCAAGTTTTTCATATTTGAATGAATGCATTAGGAAATAGTTTATTTTTCAGTGCTTTAAGGGACAATTTAGGTTATTAATGAAGAGTATAAAATATTCAATTCTTAAACCATTAATTTGATGACATAGACATGTTCGTGTCATCATTTTATGTTGATTTTTTTATATGTTGAAACAAGTTATTGGGAAACTTTATCTAATTAGAGGTTACAAAATCTTCAAATGGATAGATAAAAATATGAGAAAAAATGCTTCATGGCATATGAATATTAGAACAAGTATGTTATGTAACAGTTCAAAGGAGATGGTTAACTCTTCAGGTGTTAGAAAAAATCAGGTACAAAGTATAGGAAGTAAAAAAGTATGTTTCAGAACAGTGTTTATAATCTCTAAGTATATATAAATCTACATATAAATGCTTTGAAAATTGATGAAGAATAGAAAGTCATTTGAACAGTGCTAATTACCTCTGAAAGTTATTGTGCATTGGAAGCCTGGAGATTAGGAAGTTGGAAGACTTTTATATTTGCATACGATTATACAGGGTGTCCCAAAAAATGTACACATACTTTGAATAATTATTAATTCCGATTGGGTTAAATCTGAAAAGAAGGAAACATCAGTTGAGCTATCGGCTCTGAAGTGTGTGTACATTTTGGGGGATGCCCTGTATTTTAAAATTTTCAAGTATCTTTATTTTGTAGTAACAGTTTTTAAAATTAGGGACATATAAAGCAAGATAGTATTTCTGTCTGGGTGTCTTAATCTGGGCCCCAAAGGAAGAATTTCTTTTAGGTATTCTCTTGTGTCATATGGTGTAATCAAATTTAGGAACATACATCACCCTTTTAAGGACAATCAGAATGTTTGAGGCTCATTTAAGGAATTAATGGGAAGTTGGGTAGAGAGTATTGAAAAGAACCTTGAGTGACATACCAAGGAGTTTAGATTTCAAAATGAATTCTGTGAAGATCTATTGAAGTTATTTGAGTGGGAAAATTAGAGTGATTCTGTCATACTTGGTGCTGTTTGAATAAATGGTATTGACAAAGTTTTTTTAAAGGAGATTAATACAGTACTTTACTAACAGATTAGGAGGGGTTAAGGGTTCAATGAGGGCAAAGAGATCAATTAAGGTAGGCCAGAAATGTTATATTAAGGTTGATAAAGGCAGACAGCCAGTGGCAAAGAAGAAAGAACACAGGGTGGACGACACTCAGTAAAAGCCATTGTGGTAAGCACTTTATAGATTTCAGTCATTCATTTCTTTACCAAATATATATGGAGCAGCTAATATGTAAGAGGGATTGTTCTGGACTCAGTGGCAAATACTACTGACAAAGGTGTTGCTCTCACGAAGTTTTGTGGAAGAGCACAGGAAATAAATGTGTAAGCCAAACCTCCCACTCTCTCCCCCAAAATAATACAACTATAGAATGCCAGTTATTGTTAATTTCTAAAGGAAATAAAAGAAAGTGTTAGCTTAGGAGTAAAGGGGTAGAGATTTGGGCTACTTTAGCTAGGGTGGATGGGGAAGGACTTTCTAAAAAATACTTTATTATATTCTTTGACTTGGAAAGGTATTACTCTTATTTCACAGAAGAAAATGAAATACGGTGAGTTTAGGAACTTATCCAATATCAGGTATCTAGTCAGTCATGAAGCTGGGATTTCAAGTCTGTCTTTGTCTCATAGTCCTACAGTCTACATTGCATCACAAAGTATAGAGTACAAAAAATTGACAGGATTTACTTTAAACTGATTGAATGTGGGAGGAGAAGGCTAATTAGTAAAGAAAGTCCTCTAGTATTTTGAACTTGAGTAAATGGGACATACAATAACTTAGTTAACAGAAATGGTGGCATTTAAATGATTTTGGTAGAAAGTTAAATTTGGTCATGTTTGTTTGAGGCAGGATGTTGATGTAGAGATACCAGCTAGGCTTTGGAAATGTAGGACTAAAATTCAGAAATAGTGTTCTGGATGTACGACGTAAATTCAGTACTTACTTGTTTGAGGTCATAGTTGAAACTAAGCTGTCACAGGAAAATATAAGGGACAGTAAAGGCTGAAAGTTAAAGCTTTAGGGCACAGTCTCATTTTGTGGGTAGAAAACAGTGGAACCAATGAGGATAAAAGAGCATCAATCCCAGCCGGTAGGAGGAAAAACAGAGACATGCTTTACTATTACGTAGGTGATGGGAAAAGACTGATTAAAAACTGAAGAATGTTTTAAGTGGCCAAGGAAAATTAGCACTGATACAAAACTATTTTGAAGGGCTTTTTGATGGAGACGAGGTTGCATCTTTGGAATTTCAGTAACTTGCAGGAACGAATTTGAAATTATAATGCCAAATACAGAAACTATTCTGAGAAA